ACTCTATAAAGCCTTAGCCAGGCCCAGTTCCTGCAACCGTTCATCGTACGTTTGAGCCTCCAGTCCCCTCATCATCCTGGTTGCTCTTCTCTGCCCTCTTTCTAGAGCCTCAACATCTTTTTTTATAGTGTGGTGACCAAAACTGGATGCAGGAATCCAGGGGTGGCCTTACTAAGGCTTTATAGAGGGGTGTTAGTTCCTCCCTTGATCTTGATTGCATCCCTCTGTTAATGCAATTTAGGATTGCATTGATTTTTTTGGCTGCCGCTGCATACGGCTGGCTCCTATTTAGCTGGTTGTCCACTAAGACTCCAAGATGCCTCTCATAGTGACCGCTATTAAGCCAGGTTTCACCCAATCTATATGTGTCCTTTTGGGTTTTTCTTGCCTAAGTGTAAGACTACACTTTTCTCTACGTTTAATTTCATTTTGTTAGAGATGAGGGCCCAGGGTTCGAATCTGTCAAGATCCTTCTGGCTCTTGAGCCTATCTTCTAGGGTGTTAGCTATTCTGGCCAGCTTAGTATCATCTGCACATCCTTGACTTACAACCCTTTTTTAGCGACCCTTTGAAGTTACAGCAACACTGGAAAAAAAGTGCCTTATTGCCATTTTTTTCCACACTTAGCAACCGTTACCTCAAATTATTCTCCAAAGCAGCAGAAAGCAGGACGAGAAACAATTGATGGAAACTAATCTAGGAGAGAAGCGACTTGGAATTAAGGAGAAGCTTCCGAAGATTGAGGACAATTAACCCGTGAAACTGCTTGCCACTAGAAGTTGTGGGTGCTACAACACTGGGGGCTTTTAAGAAACTAAGACAGCTATTTGTCTGAAATAGTATCGGTTCTCCTGCTGGAGCACGGGGCTGGACTAGAAGACCTCCAAGGTCCCCTCCAGCTCTGTTCATGGTCACGTGTCCAAATCGGGAGACTGAGCAACTGGCTCACATTTATGACGGTCGTCCTGTCCCAGGGGATCACACGATCCCCTTTTGCGACCTTCCGACGAGCAGAATCCCATCCCATGATTCGCTTAACGACGACGAAGGTCGTAAAAGGAGGAAAAGCTGGCTTTTAACAACCGTGTTTGCTTAGCAATAGGGATTCCCGGGCTCGGTTGCGGTCGTAAGACGAGGAATTCCCACTCACACTGTCAGCCTGTCGGGCTGTTTTGTGTCTTGCAGAAATCCAGGGATTTTTAATTTGCGTATTAGCTCCCCCCGGGGTGATCCGAGTGGATTTAATTGCTCTCCGGAGACCAGGTTAAGGGAGATCCATCTTAGGATGAGAGATGGAAGTTCGAAAGAAGAAAAGAGTTGGGAAAAGATTAAATCAGATTTTTCGACAGTGTTTGTAAACCTGAAGTTACTTGCTGAGGGATGAACTTCAACTCCCAGAATTCCCCAGCCAGCCATGCTGGCTGNCCACGCTGGCATCCACACCCAGCTGCTTCCGGTCAGGTGTAAAAGTGCGGAGACAAAAGACGACCTTGGCTTCTAGTAAAGAATGAAAACAACACATTCCACAATCCTGCTCCTTTCTATGCCAACCTCCCATCAACTTTACTAATGAAACAGCATAATGAAATAAGAGAAAGTGTGGCAGGCCCAAATTCTAAAAGGGATATAATTGCAGGCCTGACGCCCGTCTTACAAATAGTTTTATTGATCTCCATAAGAGACCTTTTTCAAGCCTGGGGAAATCTCCCCTTTCCGAATTTCCCCCAACAGCTAAAAATCCTGCGAGATAAACTCGCGGCCCAGGCCGCCAAGTTATTACCGGTAGGAGCCGACCGCTGCATCAATAAGGGAGGCCATTTAACAAAACCCATCGTCCACTCCCCCATCTGGATGCCTTTGTTTCCCACCCTTAGGCGATCCCCAGCCAACCATCCGTTGCGTCTACGTCAACAGGCAAAACACCTCCCTGGCAGTGGCCTTCTCTCATCCTGTGGCGGTGAGTTCCAGAGGCTCTCGAGTGGAAGGGAGGGGGGGGGCCTGAATGTTCAGAAATCCGGCTGCGGTGACCGTTTCCTTCTCTCCGTTTTTTTTTTTTTTTTTTAGGTGGCTCCGGCCTCACATGACCTCATCGTGTTCGGCGACGAGTCTCCGCTGGTGGTGCGTTGGCGCACGCCGGAGGGGAAGAATAAACCCGGATATATGTGGGTATCCTTTGGCCCAGGAGGAGCCATTGATGGGTGGATTGGGGAGCAGAGGAAAAAACTGGGGGTGTTCTTTAGCAAACGTGCGCACTGAGTATCCAGGACGCCTTCAAAAAATTAATATGAACAGAGTTGGAAGGGACCTTAGAGGTCATCTAGTCCAACCCCCCGCCCAAGCAGGAGACCCTACACCGTTTCCGACAGATGGCAGCCCAGTCTCTTCTTGAAAGCCCCCAGGGATGAAGCTCCCACCAGCCGAGGTGGTGCAGTGGTTAGGGTTTAGTATTGCAGGCCACTTCAGCTGACTGTTAACTGCAGTTCAGTGGTTCTAATCTCACCGGCTCAAGGTTGACTCAGCCTTCCATCCTTTCGAGGTGGGTGAAATGAGGACCCAGACTGTGGGGGGCCGATATGCTGACTCTGTAAACCGCTTAGAGAGGGCTGAAAGCCCTANATAGATAGATAGATAGATAGATAGATAGATAGATAGATAGATAGATAGATAGATAGATAGATAGATAGATAAACAATTAGATAGTTTATAGATGATATAGAATTATGGATGGATGATAGACAGATGACAGATACTTAAAATTGGATGGATGGCTAGGTAGGTAGGTATAAACCATTAGATAATAGATGATAGAGGGGACGAGGGGAGCTTTATGAATCACAGGCCGGGCATTTAGCGGCAGCAACCTGAGTCCAGGGCCCTGGCTTCTCTTGCCACCCGGTCCTTGAGTCCATGCCAACCCAACCGTCCCCCAAAAATGCCAATCTTATCCCAATCCCCAGTTTCGCTTCCTTCTTTCCTGATCATCTGAAGAAACCCAAACTTTTCTCTCTTCATGGTGGTACACATACACACACAGACACACACACAACGTTCATTTAATTGTGCCATTAATCTTCTTGGTCAGATTCCTTTGTCCTGTTTAGCTTTGAGTGACTTTTATCAGATGTTCCTTTTTGAACGTGGAGTGGGGGGGAAATCTATTTTTTTTTTTCTTTTAAATGTCTGGCAAATAACTTGGGAAAGGGAGTTTTCCTTTCATTCTTGTCCTCACAAATTATTAGCTGAAAATCAGTTTTTATCCCCCCTCCAAAGTGTTTTTTCAGCGAGGAGACACCTCCTTATGCTGGTGACCCCAAGTTCAGCCTTCGCACAGGCTGTTTAACCTGCATGTTTTCCTCACAACACGCGGTACAGCTAGTCCTCCAGTTACGACCACAATCGAGCGGCCACTCTAAGCTGGCTTGTTAAGGGAGTCACACCTGATTTTGTGAGGTTTTTTTTTTTGCTATGGATGTGAAAGAAATCGCTGCTGTTGTTAAGTGGATCATGCAGTCGTTAAGTGAATCTGCCTTCCCTAATGGGCTTGGCTTGTTGGAAGCCAGCCGAGAAGGTCGCAAAAGGGGGGTGGGGGACTCATCTGACCCCGGGACACTGCATAAATACATGCCCGTTATCAATCCCCCGAATTTTGAGCCTGTGGCTGTTAGGATCCTGTGATGGTCGTAAGTGGGAGGACTGGTCATAAATTGCTTTTCTCGGAGCTGTTCTAAATTTGAATGGCTGAATGAATGGTTGTAAGTCAGTGACTACCTGTAGTCTTTCTTTCTCTTTCTTCTCTTAATTTCTCCTTTCTGTTTTCTTCCTTCTCATCTCTTCTCTCCTCTTCCTTTTCTTAACTTCTCCCTGTCTTTTTTCTTTCCTTCCTCCCTTCCTTCGTTCTTCCCTCTTTCCTTCCTTTCTTTCTTGTTCTCTCCTTTTCTCTTAACTTGCTTCTTTCCTCTCCTCTCCTCTCCTTCCTTTTCTTCTCTTAATGTCCAACCTTCCTTCCTCTTCTCTTCTTTCCTTAACTTCTTTCTTTTTTCTTCCTTCCTCTTCTCTTCTTCCATCTTCCCTCCCTCCCTTCATTTTCCCCTTTTCCTTCCTTCCATGTTCTCTCCTTTTCTCTTTTTCTTCTTTTAACTTCCTTCCTCTCCTCCCTTCTTTTTCTCTTAACTTTTCTTTTTTCCTTCCTTCCTTTTCTTTTCTCAACTTCTTCCTTTTTTTCTTCGTTCTCTTATCTTTTTTTCTCTTAACCTCTTCCTTTCTTTTACCCTTCCTTCCTTCCTTCCTTCCTCTTCTCTTCTTCCATCCTCCCTCCCTCCTTCATTTTCCCTCTTTCCTTCCTTCCTTATTCTCCTCTCCTTTACTCCTCCCTTTTTCTTCTTTTAACTTACTTCCTTCCTCTCCTCCCTTCTTTTTCTCTCTTAACGTCTTTTCTTTTTTCCTTCCTTCCTTCTTCTTTTCTCAACTTCTTCCTTTTTTTCTTCCTTCTCTTATCTTTCTTTCTCTTAACTTCTTCCTTTCTTTTTCCCTTCCTTCCTCGTCTCTTCTTTTCTCAACTTCTTCCTTCCTTTTTTCTCCCTTCTCTTCTCTTTTCTTTACTTCTCTTAATTTCTTCCTTTTTTCTCTTCTCATTTCTTCTTCTCTCAACTTCTTCCTTCCTTCCTTCCCTCTCTTTTTCCTCTCCTCCATTCATTTTCCTTTGGTGCCAATTTGAAACCCTCCCCTGCCTCAAAGACACGTGGAGACATGTGGGGAGGGGGCCACTCCATTGGATGAAAGTGGGGCCCAGTTTCTCCTCTTAGCCAACCCCTCCCTCCCCCACCAAAACAATAATAATAAAGTTTGCAGAAGATTAAATAAACAGAGGATAAGCTTCACAAATTCTTTTGGAGAGGGTGAGTGCTAAAAGGTAATTAATCATAACTCTCCTCGGAGAGAGAGATGATTTCCAAGACAAGTTCCCTTTTCACCTCCTCCTCCTCCTCCTTTTTTCATTCCCCTTTTCAGCTTCTTTAGAAATAACACAAAGAAACACAAACGGAGCTAGCCACACCTGCCTTATCTTGGCTTGGTCATGATCGAAAAATGTTGAGTGGTTTCTGTTTGCAAAAAGCCACGATAGCAACCCATCTTGGTGCCAACTTTGGCATCAACGAAGGCATTGCACACAAGGCAGCCATTATTATTATTATTATTATTTTCCCCCCTGGAGCATTTTTATCTGCCTGCTGTTGTTGATCTGGGGTGGTGCTTTCATTACCTGGGAGGAATAAGAGGGGCTTGCCTCGGAACAAACCACGATTCACACAGTCTTTTGGGGATGCCCACCAACGAGGAATAGAAGAATAGAATAGAATAGATTTAGGAGTAGGATAGGAGGATAGAATAGAAATAGAGTGGAATAGAATAGAATTAGGAATGGAATGGAATAGAAATAGAGTGGAATAGAATATAATAGAATTAGGAATGGAATGGAATAGAAATAGAGTGGAATAGAATATAATAGAATTAGGAATGGAATGGAATAGAAATAGAGTAGAATTAGGAATGGAATGGAATAGAAATAGAGTGGAATAGAATATAATAGAATTAGGAATGGAATGGAATAGAAATAGAATAGAATAGAATAAGGAATGGAATGGAACAGAATATGGAAGAGAATAGAAATAGAATGGAATAGAATAGAATTAGGAATGGAATAGAATAGAATATGAAATGGAATAGAATAGAATTAGGAATGG